ATTATTTGCAGAAATTAGGAAGAAAAGGATTGAACTATTCTATTAAACACAGCTTTACAAATAAATGGTATGTCTCACATATAAACAAATTTTTCATATCTGGAGTCAATTTAATCTCAACATCATAGCAAAAATTTAACACAATGCTTTGTGTGTTGTAGGCACTCCCCAAAAATTTGTGAATTAATAAGTGAAGATTAGTACCAGATCTCAAAATGTAAATCTAATGAGGAAGGTGTCCATATAAGTATATAAAATATTTAGATATGCCATTATTGAAAATTAATAGCATTGTTAGCTTTTTTGAAGTGAAATGATATAGAAAGTAGAAGAATGCTTTCACACTCAAGTGATGGTGAAAATACCCAATAGCTAAATTTATCTTCAGTTTTCTGAGTACATGAAATTATCAGTTCGCAAAATGCTTCACACACAACTACAGAATTTATTAGACCTTTCTGATAGCGACATTGATTTTTAGTTTTTAAGGTTGTTTAGCCAAGTTTTTAAAAGTTACTGTGGTTGCACAGTTATACTTTTCTTTGAATTATGTCCCTCTGTAAGCACTAAAACAGAAAATAGCTGTTAGAATAAGAGAAAGATACAGATACCCAATGTGAGAGTGGATGCGAGTTCAGAATCTATTTAAACAAGACTTTTTTTTATAAAATGACACAGCTCTGGAATTTTTTCACTAAAATAAAAACCCATGAATTATACTATAATATAAAAGGAAATTGGAATTTCTCATAAGGTAGAAAAAATGGTTTCCAGTTTCGAATGGTAAATAATGCTCAGTATCACAGTAATATTATAAAGAGGCAATCTCAAACAAGTTTTATAAATAAATAGACTGAGAAAAAGGCTTCATATTGGGCTCTCTTGACTTCACTCTTATAACAATTGTTCTTTAAAAGAAAAACAAGAAGCAAACTTAAAAGATGCATTTTCTATTTGTGGAATAATAGGATCCTTCCATAGGTAAGCGTGGATCACCTATGCTATGACAGGCACTGGTATGTATTAAACACTATTATTTGTTAGGTAATGTATTAGATGCTGAGGATACAGCAACAAATAAGACAAGTCCCTTATCTACAGTTTGTGGTAAAGGATGCCTACCTGGATGCAAGGTACAGGCAAAACTATGGGCACTTTGACTTTCTGCCCTTAAGGAATCACCTTGAACTGGCACCAGAAGCTTTCAAAATAATTCTCTTTGGCATCCTAAGCACATATTGTAATATTCCAAATGGAAGCATGTGACAACCTCTCTGTATATTTCTCCTCTATGCCTTTACTGAAACCTGGCTGACCTCCAAATACCTGACTTCACTGTAGTTCTTTCAAGAACAAGCTTGTTCATTGTTCCACACCCCAAATTCCTAAAGCAATTACAATGTTCTCCTAGTTTCTCTTTGCCAGTTCGAGATAATTGTTTTTCTGTTTATGGGAAAAAAAATTTTTGTCCTTTAAAACTCACAGCATCCAAATTACTCACTTTTTGGACTTACTTATTTTGACTAATTTTTTTACAAATCAGATTTTCTGCACATTCAGTTAGAAGTGTGGCCCATGACTTACATTCTTTCTTCTCTCATTAGTCTCCATTCTTCTGGAAGATTTGCAAATGAAGTAGAAATTCAATCCAACCATCTGGTCACACTTGCTTGTATCATCTTTTCTTTTCATTTTTTAGTTTATTTATTTATTTAAAAAAATTTTAAGGTGAACAAATTTCGTGTATTTCAGATATACAGATTTGGGAACATAATGGTTCTTGCTACCCTACCCTTCCTCCTGTCCACATTCCCAAATTGCCTAGTTTTCAAGTTGAGACGTTTGGTGAAATTAAAATTAAACCTGTGCTTTATTATTCATGAACAAAAAAGGTATGGTGACATAAAAAACTATTTCTGTTAAGACAAAGTTTGCTCTCTGGGACTGGATTGTGAGATATAATGAATTAAAAATTTTTATAAATGTGAACCAATACATTTCTCTCTCTCACTTTTGCCTAAGTTCATTTGAGTTTTTTTTTCTTATTTGCAATCAAAAGAATTCTGCTTCAATGTGGAACTGACAAAATGTTGTTTAGATAGGAGGAAAAGGAGACAGGTGATTGGAAACAAGTGTGAAGGTATCACATAAGGGATACCATCTGAGCTAGAAGAATTTAGATTTACTGCAGAGAGTTGCAAGGGAATTATGAGTGGGAAGTAACTCATTAATTTATCTTGATCCCAACATGTGTGGTGAAGCAAATTTTTAATCAATTAAAAACCCATGGATTCCTTGTCTAAACACAGAGACAGTTGCTAAATATACAGTTCTTTTACAGTGTTATTTTTCCTTAACTAGGACTCCATAGTTTCTCTTTCTGCATTTTTATTTTTTGAGCATTTAAAAATAAATTTATCTTTTAGTGTTAAGGTTTAGCAATTTTTAGCATTTTGCCAAGTTCACTTCATATTGAGATATTATATGCATACACATATATATTATTTTTTTCTTGAAAACAGGGATATTAATAACAAAGTGTAGGCATTGTAGTCTTCAAATACAATCACTTCGTATCTATTTTGTTTTAATATTCACGCCTAAGGTAGCACACTGGGAGTTATTCTCTGCAAACTATCCAATTCAGGAGTTTCAATGTGGAACAACCACTTTATTCATCAAGCCTCCCTCTCTTCTATTTAGCCCAATTTTCTTTTCTCAGTGCCCTTTTTCTTTGAGTGAATGGAGACATTTAGCCCCTCTCTTTATACCCAGCATTGACTGCCTTCTTTATGTTTTGGATAATTTGAGGTTCATAACTTCCATCCTTTCTCTGAAGCTCTTCTGAACCCTTAACCCCATGTTTTTCGTCTCTGTATACCAGCTGATGCCCAAATTATTAATCTTTCCCTCACCTTCTCAGACCTTGCCCTGCTGCTGAGCATTGCAAGAAAAAACGTCACAACCACATGATTGTTGGCACTTGAAGTGCATGCTCTCAGACTCTGGTCCTCTAGCAAAAATCAACAGTAAGCATTCTTGGTCAATCACTTCTCGCATTTCTCCTCTCCATCTTGCAGTTCCCACTAATGTAGAGACAATGTCCCAACCTTCTCCTCTAACTCCCTGCTGATTTGATTCTCAGTTAACAAACCAGAGACTTTGCTTTACATTCAGGTGTGTGGTACCCACTGCATCATCTCATTTGCTCATTTAGGAAAATAACTACCAGTAAAATGAATCCAACACACCTTATCTCCAAATAAGATTTGCTTCATTATCTCTTTATGTGTTTGTTTGTTCTTCTTTATAGCATGTAAATTTCTCATTGCATCAAAGTCCCTCCTTGATATTTCACATGCCAGCCCCTTTTTGCTTTTTTCTTCACACTTCTTAAAAGCCGAATTTCTATGCAGATACTTGGTCTTCACATGTCATTCACTTCTCATTTTCTAAGAAAGTGCTTTCTGTACTCCAAATGCTCTCCAATTTTCTCTGGGCTCTTTGCAATGCCTACACATGCTTCTCAACCTCTGCTTTTCATTTTGACCATACTCTGTAACAAGGAGTGGTTAGGACACTGCTTCACAACTTTCATTCATCTGTATCCCTTAACAAACATACAGGTATCCGGCCGGCGCCATGGCTCACTTGGTTAATCCTCCGCCTGTGGTGCCAGCATCCCATATGGGTGCTGGATTCTAGTCCCAGTTGCTCCTCTTCCAGTCCAGCCCTCTGCTGTGGTCCGGGAAGGCAGTGGAGGATGGCCCAAGTGCTTGGGCCCCTGCACCTACACAGGAGACCAGGAGAAGCACCTGGCTCCTGGCTTCGGATCTGCACAGTGTGCTGGCCGTGGTGGCCATTTGGGGGGTGAACCAACGGAAGGAAGACCTTTCTGTCTCTCTCTCTCACTGTCTAACTCTATCTGTCAAATAAGTTTAAAAAAATACAGGTATCATGTTTTTAAAAATGATTGTTTGGGGGTGAAGAGCCAAAGTGACTCCATTTTAAAACAATGAAAAGCAGCTTCCGTTTCCTGTAGCAGACCCAAGTCCTTGTAAAAGCAGGCATTTCGGAGATATCAAAGCTTACCAAGGACAGCTCAGCAGACCAAGGACAGCTCAATAGAGATTACCAAATGAAGTAACTCCCTGAACCCGAGCCAAACGGAGACCCCCCTTTCCCCCGTTCAACTAAGAGCAACCCGGAACAGCCCCGTCCAATCACCAAAAGCCCCATACTGTAAGCCCCCGCTGATGTAACCCTGTGGTTTTTCCCTTTAAAAGCACTCCCAAACAAAGGCTGAGGCCTTCCTCTGACCTCCGCTGTGGCGGCTGGTCAGACGAGGTCCCTGCTGCGGCTTGTACTTTCAAAATAAACCTTGCTTTTGCATTTCGGTGTGATCGGGTCTCTGATAGCTTTTTGGGGATCCACTTATCTGGGAATAACAGGGGGCTGGCCCTATGGCATAGTGGGTAAAGATACTACTGTGACACTGGCATGCCTTATGGGCATCAGTTTGAGTCCTGGCTGTACCACTTGCCATCCATTTCCCTGCTGATGTGCCTGGGAAAGCAGAGAAAGATGACCCCTGAACCCACCTTGGAAACCCAGAAGCTCCTGGCTCTTGGCTTCTGATTGGCCCAGCTCTGGCTGTTGCGGTCATATAGGGAGTGAACCAGTGGATGGATGACCTCTCTCTGTCTCTGTCTCTCTCTGTCTCTGTCTCTCTCTCTCTCTCTGTAACTTTGCCTTTCAGATAAATAAATGTATCTTTTTAAAAAAGTTGCCTATATCCAAGTACTGCTAAAAAATTTGAAACTTTAGAAAGAATGAATGTACAACCACAGATAATGAACCTAAATTATCTTGATCATGTGATGTCATAGAAACCTGTAAACAAAATGATGTTATGATCATTTAACTTCACAGTTTTCTAAAATACTCTAGAGTATTACCTTTGCTAATTACCCACTAGTGACATCATAATGTTCCTTAAGTTTCTTCACAGGTTGAATTAAATGTTGGGAAAGATTACAGCTCCATACTATTCCAAAACATACTCATTCTGAGTGCAACTTCAAACAGAAAAGTGCATACTGCATGAGTAGAGTGAATGCTAATACACTTGACTGGAGAACTGCAAAGTGTGTTCATTTATTCAGATGAGCTGACCCTATCTTTGAAATGCTTTAAGTATCAATGAGAGTTATCAATGAATGAATGAAAGGGTGAGTAGAAGCTAGATTTTCTAACAGATCAGAAAACTTCTAATTTTTTCCATATTGTAAGGTAATAATAGAGATTGAGAAGAAAATGTTTTTAATTCTTTCTGAATTTTGTGGGAGAGAATGAGAAGTTAAATAATTTATTGAATATTAAAATAAAATAATTATGTTTCCCCCAAATCTTTAATAGGTTTTAATGTTTCACAAATATAACAAAAATAATGTATAAAAGAGTTGTTTTTTTAATGTGCTGCAGGGTTTTATGTTAATTCTAACTCCTTTTTTCCTCTATAGATTGGATGCAGTTCTATTATTAGTGTTCAGACTATCACTTTCCTAAAGCAGGTGAATAAGCCCCAGAGGACAAAGGTATCATTCTGAAGGGCGTGAGCTTTGCGGTAGAGAAGCTATTGGAGTTTGATTCTGTTGACTCAGTGTCTCCTCAGATCAGATGAGTGAGAAATTGATCCTGTCAGCAGATTCACTGCCACTGCACACACTCATGCCAAATCCAGCAGGTCCATCAATCTCCAGAGTTGCCTATGTATGGCCAATGTCTCAAACTGGAAGGTAAAATGTAAAATACCACCTAGAGACCTGCAGCAACTCTCTTACTTTGAAGTATGAATTTTCATAGAAGTGTGTGTAAGTGGCTTAAGGCAAGGAAGGAGTAGTTAATACTTGTATGTGATCCCAGCATTCAAACAGAATCAAAAAGAATAGAGCTTGAAAATTGGAATTCATAAGCCTGATGCAGTGTGAGATAAGCTCCAATGAAAATGAAGCTACATTTAATGCTCTAGTCTGTGGCTGTTCTAATAAGTTTTAGTTCAAGTGTCAGTAATGAAAAAGGATGATACCACCTTCAGTCATAAAGGTTATTTCCGCTTAACACTTAGTTTGCCAAATGAGTAAATTGATTATTTCCCAGTTTTCAAGTTATATAAGATTTACGGTACTTTTTACATCCAATATCAAGTCTGAGAGGGAGCACAAAGGGCCAGTAAATGAACACCATAAAGTTGGTTGTTACCACATCTGCCAAGTTTATACCTTATAGGGTCATTCATCCTGTTTTAGACAGAAGAAATAAAATCCTATACTTACTGGTGCCAGCGCTGTGGCATATCAGGTAAGGCCGCCACCTGAAGTGCCAGCATCCCATGTGGGCACCAGTTCACATTCTGGCTGCTCCACTTCTGATCCAGCTCTCTGCTGTGGCCTGGGAAAGCAGTGGAAGATGGCCCAAGTGCTTGGGCCCCTGCACCCATGTGGGAGACCCGGAAGAAGCTCCAGGCTTCTGGCTTTGATCGGCACAGCTCTGGCCGTTGTGGCCAAAAAGGGAGTGAACCAGCAGATGGAAGATCACTCTCTCTCTCTGCCTTTCCTTCTCTGTGTAACTCTGACTTTCAAGTAAATAAAATAAATCTTTAAAAAATTTCTATACTTACTAAACATTTCTACAGGAAGCAGCAGGATTTCATACCAAATTTTTCTGCAGTCTGCTCCAATAAATCATCATTGTATAGTACCCTTTGCTTTACACCTTTAGAAAAAATTTACTTTTCCCCTCTTTTTTTCTTCTCAAAGGTCCTAATAGGTGTTTCCAAATCATCTTCTCTGCTGAGGAGATTTTTAAAAAGCTACAGCAGTGTTTGATAACCTAGCAATTCTTTATTCATACTGACTTGTAATTCTAATTCGTAGCAGTAGTAGTAATAGTAGTTGTTTTTAGTTGTTTTTGTTGTTTGAAAAAAAAAAAAAAAAAAAAAGGCCGGTGCCACGGCTCACTAGGCTAATCCTCCGCCTTGCGGCACCGGCACACCGGGTTCTAGTCCTGGTCGGGGTGCCGGATTCTGTCCCGGTTGCCCCTCTTCCAGGCCAGCTCTCTGCTATGGCCTGGGAGTGCAGTGGAGGATGGCCCGAGTGCTTGGGCCCTGAACCCTATGGGAGACCAGGATAAGTACCTGGCTCCTGACTTCAGACCAGCGCAGTGCGCCGGCAGCAGCGCGCCGGCCGCGGAGGCCACTGGAGGGTGAACCAACGGCAAAGGAAGACCTTTCTCTCTGTCTCTCTCTCTCACTGTCCACTCTGCCTGTTTATATATAAACAACAGAGAGAGAGCAGGAGAGCTTCCATCCACTGATTCACTCCCCAAATACCTGCAATGACTGGGTTGTACCAGGTCCAAGACAGAAATCAGGCCCGCACCACATGGGTGGTGGGAACCAAAGCACTTGAACCATAAGCTGATGCATACCGGCATGCACATTAGGAAATTGGAATCAGAAGGCAGAGCCAGAACTCAAATCCGGGTATTCTGATAGGAGATGCAGATGTTCCAACGGGTGTATTAAGCACTGCCCCAAACAGCTGTCTCATATAATTGTAATTCTAAGAATTTAATCACTTCTTGTATTTTCTCTAAGTGGAATGTTTGTATTTCTGTTTAGTTTCATTTTCCATGGGCTCTTCAGTTTATTAAGGTGATTATGCGTTTCAAAATGCTAATGACGTTTTCTACCTGGGAAGTTAATGCGAACTTAATGTCTTCTACTCCATCACCCAGACCCTAGTCCAAAACAAGGAAAAATTCCTACGATTAATTAATTAATTAATTCAAAATTTACCTACTCACTGCCCAACACATAAACATCAGCTTAGTAGAGTTTGAAAAGCAGACAGTGACATTAAAAGTAAGGTTATATACATAAACATAGTGGAATGGCACTCATGTCAAGTGTCAAAGCATCATGAGAATTCAAAAGCAGAGTTCATTTCTGTCAATATAAACCAGGGCAGGCATCACAGAACAGCAAACTTTGACTTCGAAGGAATAGAATTTGTTGAAGCAATAATTGCGAGAGAACATTTTAGTATGAATGCAGGCATATACACCACGATATGAAAATGATGGATATTTTGACTGAATAATAAGTAAATTGTTAATCTTGCTTTAAACACAAAATCTATGTTAAAATGGGTTGAAATGAAGATACCGATATTTTATCATAAAAAATGTAATGGCATATTTCTCTCAGTTTTAATACATGTGCAGAAATATCTAAAATACAATCTCTGGCAAATTTCCCAAGGAAAACTCTGAGGAAAATTGTATTCATTTTGAGAATATGAATGCTAATTGTAATAGGACAAACATTTTAAAACTACACATTTTAGAGCATGAGGAAAATCAAGCAGAATTGTTTGATGACACTTAGAAAAGCAATAAAATATTTAGCAACTCACCTGTGTTTGGGCACTTAGACTATTCATATAATTTGCATCTCTTGCTGATAATTGACTATTCAGTTTGGGTATCTAGTTTAAGGATCAGAAGACAATTAAGAATTAATAACAAGCTCAAGTAGCTTACCTGATATTGTTTCTACTGTATTAGCTGCTTGTTTCAATTGCTTTACATCAGTACTGCTAAATCAAAACAAAAGTTACTAAGCAAGTAAAGAAAAAGGACAAATATGCTTTTCAAAATTCACAGTATTTGGGTTTTCTTTCTTTGTTATGTAATTCTTTTCAGTGTTACACAACCACCTTAACAATTCTCTACTTTCCCAGATGAGCCTGCATCCTACAGCAGAGTATCTGAGTTTGATACCCAGCTCCAGCTCCTGATTCCACTGTCCTGCCATTGTGGGCCCTGGAAGGCAGCAGAATGGCTCAGGTTACTGGACTCCTGTCATCCACGTGTGGCTGGCACTGGGGAAGGAGCCATCCAATGAGAATCTCTCTCTCTTTCCCTCTCTCTCTCTCTCTCTCTGTCTCAGTCTCAATCTCTCTGTCTCTTTTGTCTCTCACGCAAGTAAATAAAAATAATAATAAAAGTTAAAAATATTCCAGTCCTGTAAATTATGTAAATCTCATGAAATAAGTCAATTTCAATAATTTGAAAAACAAAATTTTTACCTAGCTATTTTGAAATTCTCTACAACAGAAAAATGCAGATCCCAAAACTTATTTAATTTTTTTCTCACATTTATGGATTCAGATAAATTTTAAAATTGATGTTTTTATTTTACTATTCCTTTTTCATGTTATTCTAATGTGTTAGAAACACCCTAATTCATGAAGAAGAGGTTGTTAATGTTTTAATGTATCTTAGAACTTCCTCTTCCTTGTCTAACTTCTCCACATGATCAATCATCTGAATTTAAATAACATATGCTCATTAATATGTTCCATTTTCCTATGCAAAACTATTTCCAAAGATTTCGCTTACTTTCACCAGATTTTTTAAAAGATTTATTTATTTGAAAGTCAGACTTATACAGAAAGAGAAGGAGAGGCAGAGAGGGAGAGAGAGAGAAAGAGGTTTTCCACCCATTGGTTCACTCTCCAATTGTCTGCAAAGGCTGGAGCTGCGTTGATCCCACGCCAGGAGCCAGGAGCCTCTTCGGAGTCTCCCATGGGAGTGCAGGGGCTCAAGAACTTGGGCCATCTTCTACTGCTTTCCCAGGCCACAGTGGAGAGCTGGATTGGAAATAGAGCAGCTGGATCTCTAACAGACGCCATTATGGGATGCCAGTACTGCAGGCAACAGCTTTATCTGCTACGCCACAACGAGGGCCCCCTAGATTTTTTTAAAGGTGAATATACCCTCTTACTAAGATAATGAGTAGCAAGCAACCAACTACAGTCTCTTAAAAGAAGTTACCTTCAGATTCTGTGTCTATGTATCTTTAGAGATGATGAAAGAAGAGCACATGCCAATCCCTGTATATGAAGGCTTGCTTTCCTATGGTGCACCATTACAGTTGCAATTATCTCTGAAAATCCAAGGACAAGACACATTTGATGAGCATGTGGGTCTTGAATATAAGATGAATTACAATTTATTTGCTGAACTCTTTATTTAGTAGAGCATTGGGCCTTTGACTGCAAGATAAATTTAAAATATCTCAAAAATTAATAACAAGGAAAGAGATAGGAAGAAAGAAAGAAAGAAAGAGAGAGAGAGAGAGAGAGAAGCATCATATTAAAATTTTATCTCTTTATAATGATACTAGAATTAACTTTTTTAATTTATTTATTTATTTGAAAGTCAGAGTTCCACAGAGAGAGGAGAGGCAGAGAGAGAGAGAGAGAGAGAGAGAGAGAGGTCTTCCATCTGCTGGTTCACTCCCCAATTGGCCACAATGGCAGAGAGAGAGAGAGAGAGAGAGAGAGAGGTCTTCCATCTGCTGGTTCACTCCCCAATTGGCCACAGTGGCGGGAGCTGCACCGATCCAAAGCCAGGTGCCAGGAGCCTGCTCTGGGTCTCCCATGTGGATGCAGGGGCCCAAGGACCTGGTCCATCTTCTACTGCTTTCCCAGCCTATAGCAGAGAGCTGGTGGCAGCTTTACCTGCTATGCCACAGTGCCAGCACCAAGAGTTAAAATTTTAAAAAAAATTGAATATTTACTATAATAGAATGTCCATCTGAAAACACCAAGAACTTTGCTTTGTGGGAACCCCACAGCAGTTACTCCCATTTGGGTCTCCTAGGAGTTGCTGATTCTGAACACTTCCTCCTTTATCATCATGTGCCTGGTAAAACTCAATCTGCTGTGTCTGTTAGTTAGGTAAGCACATTTCCTATTGTGTTTATATTGTGTATTAATTGTGGAGACAAAGCAGAACTAGATAACTGAGTAGCTGAGGAAAGATGAAAGATCTTTCTTAAGAGATTATTTTTTAGGAAAAAAAAAAGGTAGACAGATGATCTGTCCATGAGAATATTTTGATTTAAGATATTGCTCTTTTCCCCAGGTAATATAAAAAAACTGAACCAACAATATATCAGAAGCTTTCTCCCCCAGTATAATAAATTTCAACTAAAAGGTAAACCCTCAGTTTTGATGCAACAATCTTAGCTCAACACAGATTATCCTGCTCCATATGGAAATGAGAGAGCAGCAAGGGCTATTTTAAAAACTCTGGTCCATTCATGTTCTGTTAAATCTATGTGAACTAAAATATAAGTTGGAGCCTGCATTGTGGCACAACAGGTGAACCTACTGCTTGGAACACCCACATACCATATTTGAGTTAGTTCAAGTCCTGGCTACTCCACTTTTGATCCAGCTTTCTGCTAATGGGCCAGGGAAGCAGTGGATGATGGCTCAAGTATTTAAGCCCCTTCTTGCCATGTGGGAAATCCACATGGAGTTCCTTGCTCCTGACTCTGACCTGGCTCAGCTCTGCTTGTTGCAACCATGTGGGGATGAACAAACACATGGAAGATTCTCTCTCTCTCTCTCTCTCTCTCTCTCTCTCTCTCTTTCTGCTTTTCAAATACAACAAATAGGGGCCGGCACTGTGGCACAGCGGGTTAAAGCCCTGGCCTGAAGCGCTGGCATCCCATGAGTGCCTGTTCTAGTCCCGGCTGCTCTTCTTCCAATCCAGCTCGCTGCTGTGGCCTGGGAAAGCAGTAGAAGATGGCCCAAGTCATTGGTCCCCTGCACCCATGTGGGAGATCCGGAGGAAGCTCCTCACTGCTGGCTTCAGATTGGCGCAGCCCCGACTGTTGCAGCCATCTGCGGAGTGACCAGCGTATGGAAGACCTCTCTCTCTCTCTCTCTATGTCTCTCTGTAATTCTTTCAAATAAAATAAAAATATTAAAAAAAAAACAAATACAACAAATAAATAAATCTTTTTAAAAAGAATATTTGGTGGAGCCAATGCTGTGGCATAGTGGGTAAAGCTGCCACCTACAGTGCCAGCATACCATATGGGCACCAGTTTGAGTCCCGGCTGCTTGACTTCCAATCCAGCTCTCTGCTATGGTCTGGGAAAGCAGTGGAAGATGGCCCAAGTCCTTGAGCCCCTGCACCCATGTGGGGGACCCAGAAGAGGCTCCTGGTTCCTGGCTTTGGATCAATGCAGCTCTGAGTGTTGCAGCCATCTGTGAGCCAACGAATGAAAGACCTCTCTCTCTTTGCCTCTGCTTCTCTGCAGCTTGCCTTTCAAATAAATAAATGAATCTTTTTAAAAAAAAGAATGTACGGTAAGTTGAAAATGTATTGATTTCATCTATCAAATTCAACATCATACTTAGCAACAGGGAACACTAGAAAGTGTTGGCTGTTGGTCACGTGTGTGGCTGCTTAGCAGCTGCGGTTTGCTGCAGCTGCCCAGCATCTTGAGAAACTATCTTACCACATGTATCAACAGATTGGGAAAAGATCAAAATTCAAAATTTAAAGTAAAATGTAGACTGAATGTGTATGCTTTTGTACCATCATTGGCTGAAATATCTAAAGTTAAACTATTATAAATCGAGGATACTTGTGTTTATTTACTTCAAAAAATTAAGGGTGGCACCGTGGAGTAGCAGGTCAAACTGCCACCTATGGCACTGGCATCCCATATGGGTGCAGTTTGTGTCCTGGGTGCTCCACCTCTGATCCAGCTCCCTGCTAATGTACCTGGGAAGGCAATGGAGGATGACCCATAAATGTCTGGGCTCCAGCATCCACATGGGAGACCCAGAAGATGCACATGGCTCCTGGCTTTGGTCTGGCCCAGCAGTGGCTGTTGCGGCCATTTGGGGAAAGAACCAATGGATGGAAGACCTTACTCTCCATCTCTCCGTCTCACTGCAACTTTGCCTTTCAAATAAATAAAAAATAAATCTTAAAAAAAGTTAATCAGTGTTGACAGTGTAGCTAGCCTTGCTAAGTGATCAACCATAAACTTAAGAACACAAGTACTTTGCTTCATAAAAGCTTAGCTATTGATAATATAACATAAAAAAGAAATATGTATTTGCTTATGCCCTGTAACTCTCCCCCACATTTTCTGGCACGCATCTCCTAAAACCCTTGCATTATTTTGTCTGCTGGTAAGATGAGTTGTGGCTGGGCTCTCCTGGACAGCCTCAAAATGACTGCTGGCAGTCCCAGCCTTGTGACAAGAGGGTTGGAACTTTCATTTCCACTACCTGACCCTTAAGGGGAGATGATTGAAGATTTTTTTTAAATCATCGATCACCAATAATATAGTCAATCATGCCTCTTTAATCAAACTTCCACTAAAGCTCAAAAGGACAAGTGTAGGAGCTTCCAGGATGCTGGACATAGGAAGGTGCTGGGAGGATTGGGCACCTGGTGACGTCAAGGAAGCTCTGAGCTCTTCCTCACATACCTTGTTCTAGATACCTCTTCATATCACTGTTAATGTGTCTCTTTGGTTATATCTTTTATAATAAATAGGTAAACAGAATTTTGTGTTTTCCTGAATTTTGTGAGGCATTCTGACAAATGATCAAATATGACAAGGTAATAGGAAGCTCCAGTTTGAAGCCAAGTCACACAGAAGCTGTGGGTAACCTGAGGACTCACCACTTGTGATGGATATCTGAAACAGGAGAGTTGTGGGACTGAGTGCTTAATCATTGGGGTCTGTACCACCTCCAGTTCGTATCAGAATTAAACTGAAATATAGAACAGCCAGCTGACATTGGAGAATCAGTCACTGTGTGGGAGAAAAGCATACATCTGGTGTTATAAGTGAGGTGTTCTGAAGTATTGAGTGTTGTCTGTAATGAGAGTGCCTAGTCTGTTTATGCACAAGATATTAAAGATATCACTGGGTTTAAGTCTACTATGTCACTATTGCTTCATTGTAATAATACCTTATATTTTTGTTTCTTCATTCCTCATTCTTTCCTCATTTTGTATTAATCAAACATATCTTATCACATTTCTTTTTTTAAGAGAGAGAGAAATTATTTACATATTTGAA